TTGGTTATTTGGTCAGTTACTGTTAGTGTACAGAAATGTCTAATTACTATTGGTTATTTGGTCAGTTACTGTTGGTGAACAGAAATGTCTAATTACTATTGGTAATTTGGTCAGTTACTGTTGGTGTACAGAAATGTCTAATTACTATTGGTTATTTGGTCAGTTACTGTTGGTGTACAGAAATGTCTAATTACTATTGGTTATTTGGTCAGTTACTGTTGGTGAACAGAAATGTCTAATTACTATTGGTAATTTGGTCAGTTACTGTTGGTGTACAGAAATGTCTAATTACTATTGGTTATTTGGTCAGTTACTGTTGGTGTACAGAAATGTCTAATTACTATTGGTTATTTGGTCAGTTACTGTTGGTGAACAGAAATGTCTAATTACTATTGGTTATTTGGTCAGTTACTGTTGGTGTACAGAAATGTCTAATTACTATTGGTTATTTGGTCAGTTACTGTTGGTGTACAGAAATGTCTAATTACTATTGGTTATTTGGTCAGTTACTGTTGGTGTACAGAAATGTCTAATTACTATTGGTTATTTGGTCAGTTACTGTTGGTGTACAGAAATGTCTAGTTACTATTGGTAATTTGGTCAGTTACTGTTGGTAGACAGGATTGTAGAATTGCAATACTTCCTGTTTCACTTGTAGTACTTTATATATCTGCTGCATTAGATAAATAAATACATACTGTATTTGGTCAGGAAACCTTTCCAGTGCCATGAAAGTAGAGAAGTCTTATAGATCACTGATAAATTAGAAAGAATGTTAAAATTTGAGAAATCAATTTATTTGTTTTTGTCCATAACAGATGTACCTTCCTACATAGCATATAATATAAGCTGTATAGTAGCAGTTCATAGAAAGTGACAGATGATAATAATAGCATGTGACTGCATGGAAAGGTTTCTTCTTTTGATCTTCTAAGTCTCAAAATGACGTAATCATAGTGTTGTTGGCAGCTACTTTATCCTCCCTAATGTCACACTGCCTATTATAAAGATTAGAAACAAGATGTTATGTATTGGTCTGAGTAGGGAATTATATACCTGTATAAATGGATATTGTGTACAAGGTCAGAATAAGGAATTATATACCTGTATAAATGGATGTTATGTACAAGGTCAGAATAGGGAATTATATACCTGTATAAATGGATGTTATGTACAAGGTCAGAATAGGGAATTATATACCTGTATAAATGGATGTTATGTACAAGGTCAGAATAGGGAATTATATACCTGTATAAATGGATGTTATGTACAAGGTCAGAATAGGGAATTATATACCTGTATAAATGGATGTTATGTACAAGGTCAGATTAGGGAATTATATACCTGTATAAATGGATGTTATGTACAAGGTCAGAATAGGGAATTATATACCTGTATAAATGGATGTTATGTACAAGGTCAGAATAGGGAATTATATACCTGTATAAATGGATGTTATGTACAAGGTCAGAATAGGGAATTATATACCTGTATAAATGGATGTTATGTACAAGGTCAGAATAGGGAATTATATACCTGTATAAATGGATGTTATGTACAAGGTCAGAATAGGGAATTATATACCTGTATAAATGGATGTTATGTACAAGGTCAGAATAGGGAATTATATACCTGTATAAATGGATGTTATGTACAAGGTCAGAATAGGGAATTATATACCTGTATAAATGGATGTTATGAACAAGGTCTGAACAAGGAATTGTACATATGGATGTTCTGTACAATGTCAGATTAGGGAATTATATACATGTATTGTATTAATAGATGCTCTCTACAAGATCAGATTAAGGAATAATATATTATATACAAATGAAAGTTCTGTATGTAGACAGAACAGGAAATTATATAATGTACAAATGGAGGTCCTAGAAAAGGTCAGAACATAAGATAATTACAGCAATTATGTTAATGATAATGACACATGGGAAGGCTTTCAGCCACTGCTGACATAACACATGTTGCCATGGAAACATTAATCTGATTCCTCAGAAACCAGGCATATAAATTTTCCATCAAATAGAGGATTTCAATCGTGATCTATCTTTGAGAGTACAGTTGAAGACAATGGGTAGATTACATATGTTCTTATGTAAATCATCTTCTTAATTCAAGAATATGCTGCAGTGGTAATTAAACACTACATCTTTACTTAATACATTTACATCTTAACTTAATACATTTACATCTTTATCTAGTACATTTACATCTTAACTTAGTACATTTACATCTTTATCTAGTACATTTACATCTTAACTTAGTACATTTACATCTTTATCTAGTACATTTACATCTTAACTTAGTACATTTACATCTTTACTTAATACATTTACATCTTTACTTAGTACATTTACATCTTTACTTAGTACATTTACATCTTTACTTAGTACATTTACATCTTTACTCAGTACATTTACATCTTTACTCAGTACATTTACATCTTAACTTGGTACATTTACAACATTACTTAGTACATTTACATCTTTACTTAGTACATTTACATCTTTACTTAGTACATTTACATCTTTACTTGGTACATTTACATCTTTACTCAGTACATTTACATCTTAACTTGGTACATTTACAACATTACTTAGTACATTTACATCTTTACTTAGTACATTTACATCTTTACTTAGTACATTTACATCTTTACTTGGTACATTTACATCTTTACTCAGTACATTTACATCTTAACTTGGTACATTTACATCTTTACTTAGTACATTTACATCTTTACTTAGTACATTTACATCTTTACTTAGTACTTTTACATCTTTACTTAGTACATTTACATATTTACTTGGTACATTTACATCTTTACTTGGTACATTTACATCTTTACTTGGTACATTTACATCTTTACTTGGTACATTTACATCTTTACTTGGTACATTTACATCTTTACTTAGTACATTTACATCTTTACTTAGTACATTTACAGCTTTACTTTGTATACTTACGTCTTTACTTCATACTTTTACATCTTTCAGCAGCACATTTTATTCTAACACATCTCAGACTTAATCATCATTATTATCAAAGGTAGTGACCTTGAATAAAGATCTGAAGATTTTGCCGTTTGTGCCATACTGGTGTGCCATTGGGTACCATGGATGTTTATTTCCCTTGTCTTATTGTCCCTTTGTGTGACTAACATTGTTACTAATATTGAACTTCAATAATAATCTGAAGTTTAGGTGATTACATACTCAATTCAACAATAAAATTTAATCACTGTTCATTATTGAGTCCAATTATGATTGTTAAGTTTACTGTGGCATTCTGCTTGTAAATTGATTAATAATTTGAAGTCTATAATAGGAGAGAAATGTATTTGATTGGTTACTACATCAAACTATGACATATTTTTATCAGGTGGAAATCATGATGTGGAAACAGCTTGCCCTTTACTTTTCAAAACCTTAACTTAAGTAGCTGTTATTTACATTTACCGGTAATGTTTTTCTCATAAAAATTGGAAAAAATATTTAGTTATCATCTTCTTGAGATCTTTATTTTGGATATACTGGAAGTTTTGAATTGAAAAATAATCACCAAGACTTATCACTAAGTTGATTAATTTGACTTTGAACAGTCGGATGGTGACATGTGAGCCTCTGTTCAATATATGCATGAAAAATGAAGGAAACTGTATAATTTTCATGATATTCACATATGCATAATTAAAACCTGGCACATAGCTGTGGACCATTCCTCTGTATTATGACCTTCATGTATCCTTTATAACATTAGAAAACCCCTCTCCCTCCTCTGCCAATTAACCAGAACCTATAAACATGGATTATAATGCTGAAGTGGTTGAATATCTTGTCTCCTACTCCATTATGGAGATTGGGTGATACTGCCATTTCATACCAAGTCCAGTGCTGTAAGAGGCAGTGGTGATCCAAGTCTTTTTTATTCCTAATCAATACATATGAATACCTCAATTATTTTTCTCCACTCACCTTCTGTCAGTTCTCTAAATAAATGTGTGATTGCTTAAGGAAAAGGTGAAATCACACTTCAGAGTTGCAAAAATGTGATTGATCAATTTAAATTATTCATTTATTCACTGATGTGACAGTAAATATCCTGAGCAGTATAGTCAGGGTTACTGATGGTCAGATACAACAGTGTGACAGTATAGTCAGGGTTACTGATGGTCAGATACAACAGTGTGTCAGTATAGTCAGGGTTACTGATGGTCAGATACAACAGTATATCAGTACAGTCAGGGTTATTGATGGTCAGAAACAACAGTGTGTCAGTATAGTCAGGGTTACTGATGGTCAGATACAACAGTATATCAGTACAGTCAGGGTTATTGATGGTCAGAAACAACAGTGTGTCAGTATAGTCAGGGTTACTGATGGTCAGATATGAATTGAAGAATTGTTAAGGTTACTGAGAGTGGAGCCCCTTTACAAGATTTTTATGTGGGCCTTTATGCAGCATAACAAGAATATTAAATCAGGGATTATTTGGAATGAATATTTCTTGGGCGTGATTAAGAATCTTTGTATGTGATTATTTCTGCAAAATTGAAAACTTTATTTACTTGTGTTACTAAATATATGTGTGTAAATATGTAACTTTCTTGGCAGTCTATGATTAAATGTAAAGAAAACTAGGCAAACAAAAGTTTTGTTGTACAGTTGACGATGGCAAGAATTTTCAGACTTTAATCTGTTCCTATTTCAGGACAAGATGAACTGTTATGTCATGATCGAAGTAACGTATTCTGTGACTGACGTGATGTTCACTTTATTTTCAGTAATAAATGTACATGTAAATGAGAGAGCTTGGGACAATTACAATTAAATAGATTCTAGAAGTGTCATGTCTGTTGTCAGATGTCAAATGAATAGTCTGTTGTGCTGCTGACAGAAAACGTAATTAAAATTTATCATTGTCTGAAGATTATACCACAACTATCCTGGAAAATTGATATTGACACTGTTTTGTCTTTATTGCAGCATACAGCCAGCCTCGTCCCCAGGCAGCCAAATAAGGATCACGATGAAGCTGCAAATGGCTCATATATGGCAGAATTAAGGTAGAGTTTTCTCCCCTGGGAGAGCATTCCATTGATTTTATAGGAATACTGTTGCGAGCGTTGTATGTAAGTTTGGCTTGATATTGCTTCAAACTACTGCTACCAGTTTATGTGTTGGCGTATATAGCAGAAAATGGTTGTAAGCATCGGAGAGGAAGCCTAATTATCACTGCACATATATACGTTGAGAGAGAGGTAAAGTTTTCATTATCATTGTGAAAGTGAATAGGTTTTGTATATGTGGTGTTACTGTGTGATCAGTTTTGAGTATCTGAGGTGTTATTATAATGGTTTATTTTGACTCCATAACATTATGTTGATTGTTGTTGTTTATCCATGTTTAAAGTTCTGTCTTTCCAAACTTCCCGTTCAGTGTTTTTTCATACGGATTGATGGTTGTTATTTCATAAAGATATATAATATAAGTATATCTCAAACAATATGTTTAAATGATAAATTGAAATTTCATCTTTTTTGTCATATTAATATTAATTCAGTGAAAACTGTATTTGACTATTGCTACAGTACATGATCTGTCCAGTTTACACAAAGTTCCCTTACTGTAGAAGTTCCATTTACCATGCATGTTCATGTTAGAATCAGATCTTTGTTCCACTACCATGTATATCATACATAGTTGTTCCAAGTCCCAATCATATCAAATGTATCTATTTTCTAGATGACAATAGTTGTAACAAAGTTAATAATACAGGAAAAAGCGTTATATTCATGGATTGTTTAAATGGACTGTTTTCAAAGTTTATTACATACAGGTATTGCATCTAGTAAGTTCATGTAACAATCTTAATTTGATAATCCTGGGGAAACTGAATCATTGATTTAACTAAACATGAACATCTGAGGGTGGTCTTAATAAATTTATCACGTTTTACCTGTTTTAATGGACTGTAATCAGGAAATGATGTAGACAGATAAAGATTAAATTTGATGCGGTAATTACCTCTGTTAGTTGAAATTACCTGCTCATAATTCAATTTTAGATGTAAAGCATAAAGATGTGGGCACATGATGTTTTTACTTTTCCCTGGAAATGTAATGAAGATAGATGGTGATAAGGGACACAATACCATTGAGTCGTTTATGACGGATTCTGTAGATAAATGACACTGTTTATGACAACTATCTCTCCTCATGAAAAGGTTGTTTATAGGAAATGCTGTGCAATTTTGTAGATGAGTGTGTTATGCTATTTTTGAATAGAAATATCACGAGGTGTGATTCCTTCAGTGGTGGGTAACTTGTATGCACCTCTGTCTTTTCTTTTACAGTTATGTATTTCAATTTGTCGACAACATTTTGAATTGTTGAACTCTTTTTGTATGACGATGATTTGATCCTGATATCTTATTTTTTATGTAAACTCAATAAACAAGGAAGGTTAGCAGTTTTTCTAGGTGGATATCTGTAAAGGAATTAAAACAAAATTACAGTTCTGCAATATTAGAGAATGGCAAATATGGTTTGAATTACAAAACTCCAAGTGATTACCAAAATCACTCAAGCATGTAAGTGTGTATTAACAGCGAGCTCCAACTCCAAGAGGTTTTCTTAGACAAACTTGTTCCTTCTATTGAATGTCAAAAAATGAAACTAACACCTGTTCCTTTGATTCTCAGGAATAAGAAATCTCCATATCTTGCCATTTATCAACTTCAATCATTATGCCTCAGCTGTCACAAATACAGAGGGAAAGGACTGTTGACATGACCCATGCTGGAGGGTGTCTGTCTCAATGCAGCAGATCCACAAATACACCACTAGGGATGACTGTCAAATACTATTTATTGCTTTTTCACAGTTTGTAATCATAGTAGAAATGGAAAGTACATTGTTCGGGCATCGTTTCTGGTGAAAAAGTCTGCAATATGTTGAGAGCCAACCAGTTGAAACAGAAGTGTCCCTGCAGTTTGTTGTGATGTGACCCTAATTATCACTGTTACTGGACAAGAGTTCACTGTTGTTGGGCCAGACAGCAATGGAGCAATGTCCTGTTTTCAAATGAGTCCTGGTTTTGTAAGAGTCGCATAATGTAGAGGTGGTATGGTGAGCATTTACAAACTGCTGTGGTGCAGACCTGGACCACTTTGGTGGGGGCAGTTTTACCAGACTTTTGGTCATTTGAATGAAAGTTTACAACCAGTGTTCCACCATTCCTAAGACTATACTGTTGAAACCTTTCAGTCTTCCTGAGTTGTCACCAAATAAGCATGTTTGGGACAATTGTTGGAAACATGTGAGAGAACGTCAAAATCAGCCAGTAGACTTACTAGAGCTGGCTAAAGCATTCCATATAGAACATCTCTCCTCGAATTATCTGCTGGTTTACAAGTTCCATGGAACAATGCTGCTGTCCTAACAAATAGTGGTCATACCCATTACTGATAGTTCTATGCTGGACCCCAACGTCCTTGAAACCAATTGAAGTAAACTTATGTTATCAATGTTGATAGCTGTTTTATCCAAGCTGACCAGTGACTTTATCCATGCATGATTGATAAGGATTTATAAAGGAAGAATTCATTAATCATAACATGACTTGGTGTTACTTTTCTGTTTTGGTCTAGGATATACCTATCTCTACTGGTCATTTGTTTGTCCAGAAATATTTGATCATAACATGACTTGGTGTTTCTTTTCTGTTTTGGTTCAGGATATACCTATCTCTACTGGTCATTTGTTTGTCCAGAAATATTTGATCATAACATGACTTGGTGTTTCTTTTCTGTTTTGGTTTAGGACATACCTATCTCTACTGGTCATTTATTTGTCCAGAAATATTTGCTGGTCAGTTCTCTACAGACCACCTCAGTCTTGGTGTTTGTGAAACTTTACATTGGTTTTATGAACCTGTTATAAAGCTGGTAATTTAAATATCTGATTCCTAAATCAATTTCCTAAATACATTTTATCTGGAGACATAAAAAATGTTATTGAAAAATTATATATGTGACACTGTTGGTTATAATCAAGTAAGTTTTTACGTAACAAAGGAATTAAATAAGCTTATTAGGGTCAAAGATCAAGATCACTGAAGTGGAAATTGTTTCTTAGTGTAGCTAAAATGTTTGTTACAACATTCCAATGCAAAGTTGATTGCTTTGCAAAAAGTTCTTAACAATGATGTGAATCCTACAACTTAATGTCAAAGTCACCATGAAAATGTCAAGGTCACCATTCAAATTTTGTGTATGTTAACAAGCATGTGATTGTATGGAGTCACAATGTGTTTTTCTATTACTCTATTGTGATATGTTGTGTTATATTGGTACATGTATATAACAGGACAAAATGATTAGTTCTATGTTTTGTAGTTTTGTGTTTGAGTGTGTAGGGGTGAAGTCTCTCAGTCTCAGCAGCATGACAACTCTTTTCGCTATCTTGATAAAAACCACTAATATTCAATCTTCTAACCTAGTGAAAATCAATACTTGCCTGCTCTCACAGAGATGTCTTTCTTGCCTCAAATACATTTGTACTGTATATATCCTCCAATTTGTATGTGTGGTGGAAAGACAGACTTCAGATAGCTTTTCATCATTGAATTTGTGCTGTGGTGTTTGTTTTAAAAAGTAGTGAAGGACGACTACAAAGGTAGGGTTTCTTTAATCAAGGTGCTATGTGTTTTGTCTTTAGCAGAAGGGAAATTGTATTGGTAGTAGAACACCACCATACAGCATATGGATGTCTTGGTTGTGATACTAGGAGAAGGTCACAGAAGGAGATGTAGTGTAACAGAGGGTCACAGAAGGGGATGTATTGTAACAGAGGGTCACAGAAGGAGATATGGTGTAACAGAGGGTCACAGAAGGAGATATATTGTAACAGAGGGTCACAGAAGGGGATATAGTGTAACAGAGGGTCACAGAAGGGGATATAGTGTAACAGAGGGTCACAGAAGGGGATGTATTGTAACAGAGGGTCACAGAAGGGGATCTATTGTAACAGAGGGTCACAGAAGGGGATGTATTGTAACAGAGGGTCACAGAAGGAGATATAGTGTAACAGAGGGTCACAGAAGGAGATATAGTGTAACAGAGGGTCACAGAAGGGGATACAATGTAACAGAGGGTCACAGAAGGAGATATAGTGTAACAGAGGGTCACAGAAGGGGATATAGTGTAACAGAGGGTCACAGAAGGAGATATAGTGTAACAGAGGGTCACAGAAGGGGATGTATTATAACAAAGGGTCATAGAAGGGGATGTATTGTGACAGAGGGTCACAGAAGGGGATGTATTATAACAGAGGGTCACAGAAGGAGATATAGTGTAACAGAGGGTCACAGAAGGGGGATCTATTGTAACAGAGGGTCACAGAAGAGGATATAGTGTAACAGAGGGTCACAGAAGGAGATATATTGTAACAGAGGGTCACAGAAGGAGATATATTGTAACAAAGGGTCACAGAAGGGGATGTGTTGTAACAGAGGGTCACAGAAGGGGATGTATTGTAACAGAGGGTCACAGAAGGAGATATAGTGTAACAGAGGGTCACAGAAGGGGATATAGTGTAACAGAGGGTCACAGAAGGGGATGTATTATAACAGAGGGTCACAGAAGGAGATATAGTGTAACAGAGGGTCACAGAAGGGGATATAGTGTAACAAAGGCTCACAGAAGGGGAAATAGTGTAGCAGAGGGTCACAGAAGGAGATATAGTGTAACAGAGGGTCACAGAAGGAGATATAGTGTAACAGAGGGTCACAGAAGGGGATATAGTGTAACAGAGGATCACAGAAGGAGATATAGTGTAACAGAGGGTCACAGAAGGGGATATAGTGTAACAGAGGGTCACAGAAGGGGATATATTGTAACAGAGGGTCACAGAAGGGGATCTATTGTAACAGAGGGTCACAGAAGGTGATATAGTGTAACAGAGGGTCACAGAAGGGGATGTATTATAACAGAGGGTCACAGAAAGAGATATAGTGTAACAGAGGGTCACAGAAGGAGATATATTGTAACAGAGGGTCACAGAAG